AACCCAGCTGATGCTGCAGAAAAGTATAAAATGCGACTGAAATTAGAAGCAAATACACAAAGGCTACGTTTACCGCCATGGTTGAAGCGTGATATACCACCACTGGATGATGCGAATTTCACACGCATGAAGAAACAAGTCAAAAAACTGAAACTCGCCACTGTATGCTGATTTGGAAAATTTAAGAAATGATTTTATCAGAAAAAAACTTGAAAATTTAGAATTTCTCAATAATTTTCCTTGGAATGAAGCGTTTTTTGTTGCTCTATTATGGAATCGTCCATAAAATTTAGTCATGGTTTTTTCTTTTCTTTATTTTTTTCTGTTCTTTCTTTTATGCTTCAAAAATTTTTTTGTGTTCAAAAATCATGAAATCCGAAGATTTCATGCTTTTTTGTAATGTTCTTCAGAAGTTTTCTACAAATTGTGGTTCTTTTTTTACGATTTTTACGTTCACTTTAAATAATTGTCTGTTTTGGCGTTTCCTCTCGCTCGCCCCCTCCCGTTCCCAGGATGCCGCGCTGGATCTGCCCTTGTTCCGGATGAATGTTGCACTTGTGGCTTAGTTTAATGTGTTTCGAAATCAAAATCGTCTGGAAACCTTTTATTCCGAAACCAAAATCGCTGCTGTGGACTCTTTTGTGGATTTTCAGGTTTGCGAGGAAGCCCGATGTCCGAACATCGGTGAATGTTGGGGCGGTTCAAAAGAGAGTTTGTCCACTGCTACAATCATGCTTATGGGCGATACATGCACTCGAGGATGCAAGTATGTTGATTTTTTTCCCTACGCAATGAAACATTCCTTTTGTTAATGATTTTTTCCCGCTTTTTTGCATCATTAATTAAATGCAAGAAAGTATATTAAAGGATATTGTCGGTATATTTGTATGTATGTGTGTACGTATCTGTGTGTGTGTGTGTGCGCGCGCATGTATGTATTTAGATTTTTTTATCTGTTTTCAACTTAACAATCTGTGTTTTTTCCCCTTCCATCGTTCCCTTCCGTTCTCCATTGCTTGCTGTTATTTATTACATGAGCATTTTGCAAAAGATTGACAAATTCGGTTAAATTCTTGCATATTTTCAGATTCTGTTCCGTAAAAACTGCACGTAAACCTCCACCGCTGAATCCAGAAGAGCCGTTAAATACGGCTAAAGCTATTGCGGATTGGGGGCTTAGCTACGTTGT